CAAAAAGATACATTATTAAATCATCTGTATGTTTATATCAATCTGCATTATTATATTGGCTAAAATAATGATATGACATAATAAATTTCTTACGATTTCTCAGTTTGTCTCATTTGAGTTGGCCGGCAGTTCACTCCCATTCTCCTCTTTGTGGAATAGGCCTACATGGGGACACCACAATAAAAAAAACGCGCCTCTTGCAATACCTCATGTGACATTAAATGCGACACATTGTCATCGTTTAATAAGCTAAGGTGGTGTGGAAACTTGCAATACATTACATTACAGTCTGCAGTAAATATGGTAAAATTACCAAACTAAATATTTATGGTTTTTATTAGAGAACATAATCCTACAATTTATTTTATTGTACAGTCGTTGTAATAATAATACATATCAACACGACTAACTAGTTTTCTTTAATATAATATAATGTATACACGATTATGTTTTCAGAATTGAGAACCCCTAATACCTATCTATGCGTCAAATTATTCAATAATCATAGGCGTGCGCAGACTTGCTGGGTACCTATGCGGCTGATAAAATATGCCCCTCTCCCACAGATATAAATGATCCGAAAATTAATGAGCATGATATTTCATCTTACACTTTTGGTTACTAATTTGTTGATGTGCTCCCAAGCGCATACCCTGCATACCCCATGCGCACACCTGTGCAAACATCATCATAGTACTTTTAAACTATATTAATGTACGTACATAATAGTTACATTACTCATCGTTTTAATAGCATAGGTACATAATATTATATAGGAAACTGGGTGGGTACCTACTCAATATATCGCGTTACACACAATTTAAGAGTATATCATTCATGAAACTGATCTAAATAAATTGGTAACAATGATTATAAATAACAATTAAGAAACACATTTCGATCACAGATAAAAACCTATGTAAAAAATAAAAATAAAATATTATAAAATAGTATACAATTTTTTTGTATGAAGGTTTGAACCTTTGAAACGGTGCAGTGTGCACTAATTTAATACAAACACAACGATTTCTCATTCGAACAGGACACGACACGTCCAAATCACTGTAAGTTCAGAAACTTACATCAAGTGGGCAAGTCCTACTTGTACGTTCCTATCAATGGCTATACGCAAACGATATTTATGTACGATAATGCCTGACATCTGCATTTTGTTTAGTACTTTTAACGACGTCGATTTTCTCTGTTTATTTGTTTGTTTTTAAGAAGACATTTTATAGAGTTAGGTACATAAATTAAATTGTAATATAACGGGTATTTTTGTCGGAAAAATTCTTGAAAATCCTTCAACTCTTATTATTGTCTAGGTAGATGTGGATGTTTAATAATAGATAATGTTACAATAAATCATTAGTAGCTCAAGTAACTCGAAAAACGTCCAATGTTTATCGATGATTTAAACAGAAAAAATACGTATTTTAATGTAATATGAGTTGTACCAAGTTAAAATGTGTGTTAAGAAAACAATCAAATTAAAAAACTTGAAAAATGAACAAATTTGTCTACAATTAAATGACCCTACCAATGTTGATTGATGAGAATTGACTATAATTGTTTTCAAATAGGTTAACATTACCCTGTGTTGTATATAATTAATATTATAATACTTTTTTATTTTTGTTTTAAAACTATACACATAACAACTATATAGGTTACCTACCTTTAAAATATGTAATAACATTAATAGATAACATTATAACAATATAACATAAAGAATATTTATGACTATATAGGTATATATATATATGGTATACTATTATATAACAGTACTTACTATAATAATATAATACTGTTTAATACGTAGGTACAATATGGAAGTAGGTATGTGATGTTCATTCGGTATAACAACAAAATGTCACGCGATGGTTATAACTTATAAGTATGTGTGGGCACTTATTATTTTTTTAATGTGGAACATTGATTGACGATGTTGCTCTAAAATATTTTTTTCAATACGAAATAGGGATATAATATACCATGCATTTGTAAACGTCAAACAATAATATTATTATATAAAGCTCTTATTTTATATTTGTGAGCATTATTTTGACGTGCACATTTCGCGGCTGTTTAAAATAGAAAAAAATATTGTATTTTAGCATATTAAAATATATGATACGCATTATTCATTTCGATCAAAATAAATACGAAAAGTTCTACTTGGATTATCGTATAGTTACGTAAATAAAACGTAGCACTGTAGCAGTTGAAGACTGCATGGATATAAAAAGAATTCGTTGTGTCAGTCGTGTGTGTATCGCAGTGATAATGTTGCTTTTATAATTGAATTTGTCATATTTTTCACCGTATAAACGATATAGCCACCCAACAGCATGACGATTTTCTTAGTTTTTATAAATCATTATGATAATCGATAAAGCCTAGAATATAAACGGAAACGAGAGAGTACGTCCTATACTGGCATACTTACACTACTATACATCATTTATCGTTATTATAATATTATGTACAGTTTCAACACAACCCAACAAAAGCGCATCAACTGCTGCAGTGCTGCAGGCGCATCGATGACTGCAGAACCGCGTGCACTCGGTCCACGGTTTGCGGGTCGCGCGAAGCGATTACACCGGCCGCGTTGCAGTGGGCCCGTACGCCGCCACCCGCAATCTTGGGCCGGTACGTTAGTGGCCCGTCGGCTGTACGACAGTGACAGGCCGTGCCTCCCTGGGACGCGAGCATTGAGTGCGCGGCGCACGTGTCCCACTCGTACGTCGAGTCCTTGGTCAGTGCGTAGCACTTAACGACGCCTAGCGCCACGCATAGCATCTTGTAACCGGCCCCGGACGCCGTGGCCACCGTGTAACCCGACCGCTGTAGCGCCGCCTTGGCCTCGTCCGTTTCGCTGTTGCTTGTCACCACCAACTCCTGTCGGACGTGCAACACACATTAATAATAAAATGCATAATTATTATAATGCGTAATGCATTCATCATAAGTCGGGTGAAAAAAAATTTTTTTTTAAATAAAGTGCGATTTTAACCTGCAGCAGGCGTTGTGTTTTTGCCATTCTAAAAGGACAGACAAAGAGAGAAAATTGGGGTCATGTGAGCAAAAGCATAAATAATCGTTAATAATTGTTTGCTGGAAAAATGCCATTGTATGAGGAAGTCATGATGGCTAGAAGACGTATGTCGATAGTCGATTTTAACATAGTTATATATTATAATAGATTTGATAGACATCTGAGATATAGGTCAAGTGTCTACGATTAGCAATATAGACATGATTGATTGGGGAACACTTTGAGTCGCGTCGTTGTGGTCTGTGTGGAAAAGCGCAATATCCAGTACCTAATAATTAGGGAACGGATTTTAATTTAAATAAATATTTTTATGTAATAATAGCATCGGAAAGTTTTCTATAATATGTATATATTTTATTTAATTTTAAGTAATCTGATGATAATTTTGTTTTAAATATTTTAGAATAATGACATTTTTTACAGATAAATACATAAATTATATAATATTGCAGAAATTTTGTGTATATTTTAATTATCTTACAAATAAATATACGGATTCTGTATTATTGAAGAATTTTCGTTTTTATTTTAGTATTTTACGATACGATTAGGTTTCTGTACTGTACACCTTTGACATCAAACGACAACGATTCGATATTTTATCTTAGATGGGATAAGTTATCTAAATAGTAAGTAGTAATTTCAGTATACGAGTATATGCGTTCACTTTTCGATCAGTATACGTAAGAGCGTTATTCGATCACGTTATTTCCGTTTGTGTTGTTTGTATAATATAATATTATGTTAACTATTTAAATATGCCCTGCAAGGTAGCTCGCACAAAAAGGTCAAATGTTAGTATTTATTTGGTAGAATTTCCGAATGAAACTTTTAGAAGCGATGGACAAGTTTTATACTGTCAGTCTTGTGATAAATCAGTATTTAGAAAGTAAAATTTTGCAAAACAATTTAGCATTTTTTTCGACTAATTTTGGATATTTAGTTGATACTATTTCAAAATTAGAAACTTCTAAAATGCCACTAACGGAGAGCTTAGAAATAGTTGATAATGCCATAAAGCAATTAGAACGTGTTCTATTTATATTATTATACTATACATATAATGAATATTGTGTTTGAAGTTTAAACTTTGAACTTGTGAATTCGTGTTTTTAATATACAGGCAGTCCAATCGCCGTGATTTATTTTAGTTTTAGTTTAACTTCCAGGATCACATTCCTAAACGAAACGGCAGAGTATAATATCGAACAATATACATAGATTACAATATAAAGTAAATTAGGTTAGCGTTTTAAAAGTTACAATACTCGCGCTATATGTAACTTAAGTATTTAAAACTGATTTAATTTTTAACCTTTTTAAGGTTTTAATACAATCATATAAACGTAGTATATTAAGATGGTCTTAATTGTATAGAAGGATTCGAAGAGACGAACAAACAAAACGGTGGACTTCGTAATGAAAAAGACGTTGTTTTTGAATTAACATAACACTGATTAAAATTCCTTAGACTTTTTAATATCGTCATATCATATAAGGTAATGAGGCGCAGGAGATAAATAATTTAAAACTACCGGACCCGATTCCGTATCATTTATGCGCATGCGCATTCGTTATATATATATAATAATTATCTGACATTGTCTGTACATAAATTTAGTCATATTTTAAAACAATTACTGCATTGTTTACGACTCACTGATATTATATTTTATATGAATAATTTATAATATTATTCATATATAATATAGACATATTATGCCTAATAACTGTATAATTATAATGTTTATGCACATCATAATATAGGCATGTTTAACAGGCGTTTGTTATCCGCTTTGGGTTATAACTATCGATATGAACATAATATGTAACTAATTGGCAATTTTTCTTTACCTGATTGCAGCTAATGATTTCTGGCAATGAATTTAAACTTTTCTGACCGTCGCAATAAGCCCAGTAACATCTTCCACTCCACCTACGAACACATCACGGACGCGATGAAGTGAGTTCTTAAAATACGTCTTGTTGACGTTTCAAGTCTCTCAATCCGTTATAACTTATTAGTATGTTCGTACAGAGATTTTTTTTTTTTTGTTATTTTTATAAATATACATTTGCGTTAGTTTCTCTATCGCCCATGCGAGTTCACGATGATCAATAATACGATATTGAAATAATACGTTATTTTGAATTTGTATTATTATTATTATTTTATTTATTGCAAATTTAGTGCAAGAGCATTGTAGATACGTATAATAAATTATAAAAATATTATCCATTGAAAACAATCGAGACGATTTTGTTTTGTATGAATTACAAATAGAACGTATATAATATAGTGTGGGTACCCAAAAGTAGGTAGGCAGTCAAAATGGTATTTCAGTACGTTTAAATAAATAATATGTGCATTGGTGTCATAACGTTAAAACAAATGGTTGGTTATTTAACACAAAACGTGCGTTCTAGTTTGAAACAATTAACGCCGAAATAAGCAACGTTCAGTTCAAAACAATAATTAATGTTTCCTATTCAAAAATTAAACATTCACTCGGTATATTTAATAAGCATAATATGCTAACAGATGTAGTAATAATTATCGTATTGTAAATGTCAAAATCAAGCGAGAAAAATGCAAAATTCAAATTAAATTTTTTTTTTTAATTCGTTAATATAATATGAAATAAACTTTGCGCTCGGAATGCAGTGTTTTTGGACATTCAGAAATAAATGCGATTTGTATTCAAATGGTCCGTTCCTTACACATCGATGTGTATTAAATAACTGACATTTAAAAACCTTACCCTTTGACGGGGTCGAATTCGAAAAACGGTTGATTGATAACGCCGGCAATTGGTTTTCCACTGTGCTTGTCGAATAAACCAATATTAATCGTAACACAATGAAGTCCGCTAGAGTGAAATCCGTATTCATTTATGGTATTGACATTTCCATTTATGTATTCGTTTGTTGAATCTATAATAATATACGGTAATTCGTAGGTATAGTAGATAAATATTTTAATTAGAATATTATTATGTAACAATATTAACATGTTATTGATCATTAATTATCGTACCTATGGTAAGAAATACAAATTATATTTTTAACAACTTGACTGAGATTCTTTTTGAGATCTCACTGAACTTAACTTCCTACCGCTAATTTTTGCAAAAAACTTCCATATAATGAATGGGTACTTTTTTTAGTTTTTGACTCCAAAATTGTACATACTATACACTATAGTGACACGTAGGGTGGAGTCGCCACCTATGGCCAATACCCCATCTATGGCCAGGTCGTTTTTGTTTACCTTGTAAATAGTATAATCTATTCATTAAATCGTCCAGATATATATGCCATTATTCAGTAACTTGAACAAGTTCATTTGATAACACGGATTATAATATATTATGTTGTTAACACTGTAAAAATATTTACCAATTTTATATTATCGTATTTATGCCGTGTTGTTATCATAATTGTTAAGGACTTTTTTTTTATCAATATTTTATTGTTAATGTTCAAATTATTTGTTAATATTTGTTCCTGCGTCATTAGGTAAGTTTTATTCAATTAAATTACGTAAGATTATGTAACAGGGTCTAAAATAAATCCATGTCTCTTGTATTCAAGTGACCATTAATGGAACTCAATTTCTTTAAAAATC